CATCTTTTTTTCAGCTTCAAAATGACTTGCTTTTCTCCCATATACAGCTCTCTGATCTTCATGTTGGCTTATCCTTTTTGAACAAAAAACACAGTCTTCACAGGTGAAACTGAAGACTAAAACCAAGAGTAGATGTTCAGAGCTATTTATTGTTTAATCAATCAATCAATCAATCACTCAAACAGGACACACCTGAGTAACAAGAAACACCTGTCAATCACATGTTGCAATGTTTTTTCTTACAAATTGGGTCGTCTGATACAAAATGTGATATGTTTGATGTCGCATAATACATCTACATATAAATACAAGGAAATAAAAGCTGACATTGTAAACTCTCTTCTCATACTCATCTTTTGATCTCAAAACCCAAATATCTTCAGTGTGCAGCAAAAATATTAATTGGCCTTGCCGTTCCAATAGTTTTGGAGGGGATTGTATGTACAGTGTATGCCATATTCCATATTTATTTTTAAAATAGACAAATCTCATTAGTGAGGTCAGGGTTTTTTGAGCCTTCTGTGCCTTTTTATAGGATGAAATATAAATGCTACATTGCGTGCAGTCTGTGTAAGATGTCGTGACTGAATTGGATTCTGTGAGGATTATGTCACTGTTTAACAGGCTAATACAGATGAAGCGGTGTTCCTATATAAGGAACCTGGCACACTAAGGTAACAAGGGATGTGATCAGATTAGGATGTGATCAGATTAGGAAAAAATTCTACTATGAACAATGACAGTCTCACTAGACCCAAGCCATATCTTTTGGCTCAAAGTGTTTACCAAAACAATCCATAACTACAATAGTAACAATAGCTTCCCTCCTGGCTTCTGTCTTTTAAATCCTTCATTGACCAGTAAACATGGTGGAACAGAAATAAGATTATCCCGAATAAATCACTAATCACGCTTAATCATTTCCTACCTTTAATGTGTGACCCATATGCTAATGTCAGCAGGCAGTGCTGAGACACGGTCCTGACGCATCAGAAACTAGCCAGCGTTTCCTTGTTATTTTAACTCATCCCTCACGTTAAAGCAGTGATTTCCCTAGCCACAGGAATAATACAGGCAATTTCAGCATAATTGGCTAAAACCATTGTATAAAAATGCCAATAAGTACAATTAAACAGTTGGAAATTAGCCAGGAAGAAGATGCATGAGCACATTGCGGCCCCACAGAATGAGGAAGATGGTGAGGAAAAAGATCACAATTACAGAATGGCACCATCTAATGAAGTCTTACAGTTTCAGGCATAACAATCCTGAGAAATCCTTAGAGCAAGCCACAAAATGAACAACAATTGGAATGAAATGTTGTAGTTAATTTCTGTTTGGCTTCATACACCACTGGCATGAAAACTACCCAGAGCCAGTGTAAAACATGGTGGCAGAGTAGTGTCAGTGTTTTAGGGTTGTTTTTGATGATTGGTGGTCCAGATGATTCACGGCACCATGAATGACACAAAGTAGCCCCAAAACCAGGTTTATTCTGCCAGGAAGTTAAGACTTGGCCACAGATGGCTAGGGGATGATTAAAATATCATCCCTACACATACATTCAAATCAACACATGAATGGTTGCAGTACACAAAAAGCAAGATTTTTTCAATTGGAATTTCAGTCTCTTGATTCAAAGAAGAAATTCCATTAAGGTGCTTGAATAATGTGCATGGATGAGTTTCCAAGATCCACTACAAGTCAAATTATATATGGCCAAATGTTTGTGGACACCTGACCATCAAACCCGTCTGCTTCTTCCCCAAACTGTTGCCACAAATTTGGAAGCACACAATTGTGTACAATGTCTTTGTATGCTACATCATTACATTTTCCCTTCACTGGAACCAAGAAGCCCAAACCTGTTCCAGCATGACACTGTTCCTGTTCACAAAGCGAGCTCGATGAAGTTACGGATTGCAAAGGTTGGAGTAGAAGAACTCGAGTGTTCTGCACATAGCAATGACCTCAACCCCGCTGAACACCTTTGGGATGAACTGGAACTCGGACTGCACCCCAGACCTCCTCATCCAATATCAGTTCCTGACCTCACTAATGCTCTTGTGGCTGAATGATCACAAATCCCCACAGGCACGCTTATCTCCACACAGAAGAGTGGAGCTTATTGTTCAACAAGTATATAAATGACCTATTATTCAATACTGCGCAATAATCTTTTCGTGATAATTTTCGATAATACATTTGGAAATGACTGTAAATGACATGGAACAGCAAGAACATCTGTTGTACATTTAGGTTTTATTTTTTCCTTTAATTAAAATTGAAGCATTGCTACAATACTAACTTGAACATTAGTATTGGTATTAGATGTATTGTAATAAATGCTGTCACTTAATTTTTTTTTTTTTAATCAACTTCTTTAACATGACTTTGGGAGTGTCTGGTACAATATAAAGAGGTTTGCTGCTTCTGTGCTATAAATTAAGAGTTGATATTTTTCGTCTATATTTGAGATGTATCTAGATTACAGTATATGGGCATATTTTAAGAAGGGCTTTACAGTTGCAGTGATCAGAGAAATAATGAGCAGAACACGTGGGTTAATGCTGTATTATGAATTGGCCATGCTTTCATATTTTTGAAATAATCGTTTATAAAAGATATGCATTTATATATACTTTTTTTTTTTATAATCGGGAGTCTTGGCTTTCTACTTAGAAATTTAAACATGCGGTACTGCTTTTTCACAAAGATTTCTGTGTTCTGAGCTTTTGCTCAAGTGATTTGTTCCAGGCACACACACACACACACACACACACACACACACACAACCTGGTTAACATGCGGACCTGTGAGATAATAATTAGTGGCTGCTCACTCTGACTGGCTGGGAGACGTCACTACTACAATATGGTCCCCACCAAGATATAAATACATGCACACACGCACACACACACACACACATATGACTAAAAAATCTGTAAAATCAGCAACCAATACAAACTATACACATAAAAGTCATACATGTGTTTCTCTGCTATATGACACCATCGGTCTTAATAACTTAAGTGGTTTTTATTTTCAGCCAGCGTCATTGCCGATATCACTATCCAGGTACGTATGGAGCCTTTCATTTTATCATTGGTGGAAAGCACAGGACAAAAGGATGAAGCAGATATGGTTCATATGAAACCCAAGGCTTACGAGGAAGGTTTAATGTTACTAGTAGTGAGTCTTGACATGCATTCAACGTGTGTAGAAGTTGCACCAGGCAGCAGACACACAACACGCATGGCCATGTGTATGGTTCCGTGTAATGGTAATTAATATATTTATGGGAGGCATGGGGTCATTTCTAATACCACAGACGGTGGAACGTAACTGTACACTAGCGACTCAGGAAGTGTTGAAGGACACAGTTGGAAGTGACGGGTGATGCTAAAATATTCAGCAAAAGCATCAGAGCCATTGGGAAGTTGACTCTAGTAACAATGAGATATATTCATTTATCAGGCTCCTTCTTAGTATATTCACTAAAGTAATATATTTCATTTGAGTTCATACATTAATACTTTCTCCACACTTTGGTAGAGGTCAATCTTGGTTCCAGAACTTTTGTGGCTCATCTCTGGCCTCTATATTTCTGCTCTCTACGTCGCCTTCGAACACTGGATCGTGATAGCGTCACTCCTGCCCTACGTAAGTTGTTGGTGATGCCGCAGTCTGTTGTTTATCGATTTTCCTTCACAGCTCTCATAATGTTTCTGTCATCAACTGTTGTTGTTTTCCACGGCCGACCCCATTCGGTTATCTTTTTTAACGACAAGTGGGGGGAAAAAAAAGTCTTCACAGCTGAAACTGAAGGCTAAAACCGAGAGTAGATGTCCAGTGCTATTTATTGTTTAAGCAATCAATCTTTGGTCACAGGACACACCTGGGTAACAAGAAATACCTGTCAATCACATGTTTAATACTTTGCTCGCCTAAAAAGTGGGTGGTCTGATACAAAACGTTCTACGTTTTATGTTGTTGAACACGTCTAGATGTAAATACCAGGAATTAAAAGCTGAAATCCTAAATTCTCATATCAATATCCAACTTCTGATCTCAAAATCAAATGTCTTCAGTCTACAGTAAAAGTAAATGAATTGGCCTTGCAGTACATGCATTGAGAACGGGTGCAACATACACACACACATACTATGTACTATATATATATATATATATATAAATATAAATATATATATAAATATATAAATATACATATATACACACACACATAAATCGTTGATACGGTGATGTTTTCTGTGAGGAGTTTTCCACCACTGGAAAGTCTTCAGGACAGAGGACTTTGTGTTCTCTCGTCAATTCACAAACTGCATTAAAAAAAATTATAGATATTTTATTAACTTCTAAAGAAAACTGCTTTTACATTCTGCTATGTTATAACATGAAGTAATGGGTTTAGCAAATGTTACATTAAAAGTAGCTATAAATGTATTAAATGTGTGTTGTGTCAGTCATTAACAAATTAAAAGCATTACCATTGGCAGATTCTTGTGATATACTAGGAATAAAACACTTCAGGGCATGCCGTTATCGGACACTGTTCACATGTGGTATGGAAATCGCAACAGGGTTTTGCTTTGGAGTAACGATGGCTTCTACATTGCACAGAATAACTCAGTTAAATGTCTCAGTCTATCATTTCACTCACTGAGACATCTATTGCTGACTTTAGGAAACAAAAAAAAAAATAAAAAAATGGTGCAGAGTTCACATCAGGCTACATCGCCCTTCACATCAGGCTTCCAATTTTTTTTTTATATTTTTTTTTTTTAAAAAATTTGGGGGGGGGCACCATGTGCACACAATCACACACTCATTCACACCTTGCGCTTCCGATAGGCTCACATAGGAGAAGGAAGGTCATGTGTCCACAAACTGTTGGCCATATAGTGTATATAAACCTTATTTGATTAAAAATCACATTTGAATGAATATACAGTAATCATTCAGATTTACAGTTAGTGGGCGCACAGGGGCTTAGTGGTTAGCACGTCTGCCTCACACAACCAGAGTTGGGGGTTCGATTCCCGCTGCGGTCCTGTGCGTGCGGAGTTTGCATGTTCTCCCCGTGTTGTGGGGGTTTCCTCCCCCAGTCCAAATACATGCATGGTAGGTTGGCATATCCGAAGAGTCCACAGTGTATGAGTGGGTGTGTGAGTGTGTATGTGATTGCGCCCTGCGATGGATTGGCACCCTGTCCAGGGTGTACCCCACCTTGTGCCCAATGCCCCAAGGGCTTCCCCCTTCAGGTTTCCCATGACACAGTAGGATAGAAAATGGATGGATGGATGGATGGATGGACAAACAGTTAGTTCCACTAATTCGATTGGTCGAACTGCGTTCCAAGGCTCCTTGTATTTAGTATAATCGCACTGGGACATTTCATCTGTGTTCGCCACGTAAAATTCGACTTACCAGTTCGAAATGGCTACTATAATAGTGCCAGCGGAATCATTAATAAACACGGCAAACGATACTATTTTCAGGAAGTTAACTTCCGACGTAAAACATGAAAGCTCGTCAGACAAAGAAGAAAACGAAGAAGGGCTGCCAATATCACCAGAAGCACCGTAACAGGAACGTATAAATCAACGTGAGCATGCTAGATAGCGAGTGAGTGCGGCTTCATTCGGCCATATAGTGTCCGAAATGTCGCTTACTTGATATTAACGTCTTGTTCCTAGAACTGTTGTACAGAAGCAATATCGCACTCGCAATCGTGTGGTTATACTGAAGCTCAGCACGGACGTGATTCATAATCAACGCCGATATTCGGTATAACCTCACGAATGCGATACTGCTGAAATATAACATGTGCATGCCTTCACTGTGCATGTGTGGGGTTTCCTCTGGGTTCGCCGGTTTCCTCCGACATCCCAAAGAAACACACTGGTATGAGGATCGGCTATGCCAGATTGCTCCTGGGTGTGAAGGTGTGTGTGCATGGTGCACTGTGATGCCATGCAGGGTGTATTCCCACCTCGCCCAGGGACTGGCTGAGGAGCCACCTTCGACCCTGACCTGTGTAAGGCGCTTGCTGAATGCATGAGCACTCTTGGGAAGCAAACTGCAGATTCAGATATGTGGAGGATGGATTACACACACACACACACACACACACACACACACACACACACACACACACACACGTCCTGACGTTTCTCTCACCTCTTTCCATTTGAGCTGTCTGATGCTGAGCTTGAGCGCCTCCAGGGACGTTTTGGCTTTGGACGTGTCTACAGTGACGGATGTCGCATTTCTCACGGCTTTGACCGCGGCCGTCTCCGCCTTTCCCGAACCTTTGCCGGGGAGCGCGTGCCGGCGCGCGCCCTTACCGGGGTCTGAAGAGGCGCATGCGCGCGGCTTGTTCACGAGCAGATCCGGGCTTCGCTTCACGATCCCGGTTCCTGGTTTGCTCTTAACTTTACTACAGGGTTTCTCGGCTGTTTCTGGAGCAGGAGGCGCGGATGCCGGGGAACACCCCGGCAAGTTTCCGGTAGCCTCCGCAGTGCGCGCCTCCATCTGCTCAGGCACGTTGGGCTTCTCATAGTGATCACTCATAATGCCTCAGCTGGCCCATAAACCTGTTAAACACCCAGCTATCAGATCTAGCTAAACAGACAGATCAAACTCGGTGCATTGTGTATTTAGACAAATAAATAGACAAGTACCAAAGTACCATCTCACCATCATCACAATAATCATCATCATCATCGTTGCCATGTTGATTGCATTTACGCAAACTGGCAATTTTCTTTTACTTTCACAATTATTACTCTAGAGTCTACACAATATGCTTGGCTTAAGAACAATAACTTGATCTTCATCCTAGTCAGGCTATTTGTGCATATATATATATATATATATATATATATATATATATATATATATATAACTATTTGTACAGCCTTAAAAAAAAGAGCTTTCAATTAATGATTCTGGCAACCCTGTCTAAACATGCCAGTGAAGCTCCAAGCCAATATGCATCCTGCTACTAATCATCATAGCATCGGTTGACGTTGATGTTGTTGTTGTTGTTGTTACATATAAACAACTGACAAGTTAGAAGAGAAACTATTATTGAATCTGGATTGGGTTTTCCATAAATAGCGCCAAGGCACGATTAGTTTTAATAACAGTACCCAAGATGAGCGCTCCCTTCAGGACAAGCAGCCAAAACCAATACATAAATAAATATACAAGAAAAGGAATAAGAAAACAGGAGAGACAAAAAGCAGCTGTTGTTATACGAGACATAAATAAATAAATACATAAATAAATAGCTAACTTATCTAGCTTGATAAGCATTTAGGTATCAGTATATTCATACATAGGCTATATGTTGTTGTTGTTGTTGTTTTCAAAAGCCTGTAAGATGCATGTTTCAGCTGGTCTTCATGCCTGTTATTATTCATTAATCATCATCATCCTAATACTGTTTAAATCTCACTACAGAGACCTGTTTCTGCTCCACGGAATGAATAACGTTAGCTGAGGAAAACAGAAACGATACCGTCTTTATCAGAGTCATTATCAGGAAGCTGAAGAGGTTTCCTCCTGGTCTCCTCGTGGTAGAAAACTGTCCATGTCCCAGAGCGGAGGTTGAAAGCAGGTAATGTAACCACATTCACCCTTACTGTTTTGATACCGTTGACCACGCAACGCACGGGAGCCGCAGAGGGACATGAGAGAAAATGCGTTTCCTATTTTTTTTAACCACTAGAGGCGCTGTACAGCAATGTTTCTCAGAGTGGGGGCGTTTATTTGTGTTGTGTTTTTTTGTTTGTTTTTTTTAATATGTTTTGTACGCCTATAAAAGGTCCCATTCATCCATGTTCTATACCACTTAACTTTCATGGTCGCGGGGAACCTGGAGCCTATCGCAGGGAGCATCTGGCACCCTGGACAAATTCACAAGCCCACTCACAGCCTTCCGTGAATGTCTTTGGACTTGGGGAGGAAACTGGAGTACCCGGAGGAAACCCCCACAGCAAGGGGAGAAGATGCAAACTCTGCACACACCCAACCCTGGCAGTGTGAGGTGAACGTGCTAACCACTAAGCCACTTCGTGCCCTCCTATCAAAGGAATTCAATTAATTATTGAGTTCTTGCATTCAAATGAGTGCATTTAGAACGCATTCTAAATAAGTAGGCTTAAAAAAAAACTATTTGGAAACCTAGTACTGGGTCCAGTATGGACTAACCCAGCGGTCACAGACACTATTCCTTGAGATCTAATTTCCTGCAGGTTTCATCGCCAACCAAAATCTAACACGCCTGTTTTAGTTTATCAAGAACTTCTTAAGCCAATGTTTAGATGGTCAGGTGGGTACAATTATGGCTAGAGCTAAAGACTTCAGGAAGTTGGTGGTTGGTGACCACTGGACTAGCCCAACATGAGTTAGGTTGGTGTAGGGCAGGCATTTACAGTAACAGGTCACATTAAACTTAGTTCAATGTCAAGTGGGCCAGAAAAAAAACCCTGTTTACTACACACTGGAAAAAGATTAATAAAGCATCTTCTTGTTGGGCATAGTGGTTAACATGTTTGTCTTGCACCACCGGGCTAGGGGTTTGAATGTGTGCACTGAATTCTCATCATCTCCGCGTGTTTCGGGTTTTCCTCGGGGTTCCTCCCCCAGTCCAAATATTTTTCATTGTGGGCTGACTGGCATTTCCAAATTGTCTGTTGTGTGTGTATGTGTGCGATTATGCCCTTCGATGAGTTGGCACCCAATTCAGTGCATCCTCTGCCTTTTGCCCTGAGTTCACTGGGATAGGCTCCAGGCTTCCCCGTGACCCTGCGTAGGATAAGCTGTATGGAAAATGGATTGATGGGTTTTCTTGTCTCTGGGGTGGTACCGTTCACCTGTAAACATATGGTGTACATTTAAAATTAATTGAACATAATTAGACCTCAATCACTGATGTACATTTAAAGCTTTATTTTAATTGCTAATTAAAGGTACTCAACACGCACCTACCCATGTAGAAAAGATTTCAAATTCAACACTAGTCATCAGTGAAGACATTAGGGCTTTTAAAGATATATGTGTGTGTGTGTGTGTGGGGGGGTGCTCCTCTCTCTCTCTCTCTCTCTCTCTCTCTCTATCTCTCTCTCTCTCTCTTTCTGTTCACAAAAATAAAAACTCATTCACTTCTCTCATTCTCATTCATTCACTTCTCTCATGCTATAGCCTAATGAAAATACACACACCTTTGCGTTTTTTTTCAGGGATCAGCCACTTGAGGGTGCTCTAATTCAAATTTTGGGGGGTAGTGAAGTGGGACTTTCCATTGAAATATTCAGTACACTTCCATACATCCTTTACATTTACATTCACATTACTTCCACTGCTCAATCTCCAATAATGTTATAGTAGCTTAAACACTTTGAATGTCACGTTTAGGTTTCCCAGAAGGAATTATATATTATATAGTTATATATTGTATAACAATAAATGTATTGTATAATTTAATTAGGAGCTAAAGAAAAGGCTAAAGTTCTAAAAACTTTCATAATGTGACCATTTCTTATCCATTTAGAAAAATTACCTAGGAAATACTATTTTTGGACATGGAACATTTACATCATCGGAAATGACACCATTTGTTTCATCTAAAGTGACGAACATTGTTATTAAACAAGTACTTTCATAGTTTCCCTTGCAAAACCAAATTAGTTTGTCAGAGTATTTCAATGACTGTATTTATTCTAACAAAACTCTCTTATTTATTATTTATATTACATTATTTATTTATATCCAGATGAAAAATTGTTGTGATTAGATACTATTCAGCATCATTTAATCTTGAATAGACAAATTTCATAAAGCAGCTTCTTCCAGCTGTGAGGGTATTGGACTTCTAACCATCCATTTTCCATACCGCTTATCCTGCACAAGGTCAAGGGGGAGTCGGGAGCCTATGGCAGAGAATTTGGGGCACAAGCACACCCTGGGTGCTGGATGCCCATCACAGGGTACAAACGTGCACTCATTTCCGCACTATGGGGAAATGCCTTTGGAATCAGCTTACAACACA